TCGGTCTTGGAGAACCAAGTAGCCCCTGTCAGCTGATCCAACAACTCATCAATCCGTGGTAAAGGATACTTGTTCTTCACTGTAACTCGGTTAAGTCCTCGGTAATCAATGCATAACCGAAAACTTCCATCTTTCTTCTTCACATACAACACCGGTGCTCCCCATAGTGAACTACTCGGCCGGATAAAACCCTTACCCAGCAACTCCTCCAGTTGCTTCTTCAGCTCTGCCATCTCTGCAAGAGCCATTCTGTAGGGTGCTTTAGATATTGGCATCGTCCCTGGTTCCAACTCTATCGTAAAAGGATCAGACCATGACGGTGGTAACCCCTGCAACGACTGAAACACATCCTCAAACTCTAGAAGGACCCGAATATCTCCAACCCTAACTGCTCCAACTGTCTCTGGAGTCATGATTGTCGCTAGATAGGCCTCACAACCTTTTCCGATCATCTTCTCTGCCTGCACGGCCGAGATCACGAGACTCCCAAAAGTCGGCCTCACACCTTGATAGACCAACTTTCTCTTCTCCCTCTCGAACACGACACGCCCTCGGTGGCAATCCAGATGTACCATGTAATATCCGAGCCAATCCATGCCCAAGATAACGTCATACAACTCAACTGCACAAATGATCAAATCTGCTGGCATAGATTCCCCGGCTACCTGTACATCCACGTTTCTGGCTCGACCCTGAACAGCCAGAAACTTCCCTCCAGCAACCCTAACGACTCTGAAATACTCGTCGGGTTCTCCCAGAATACCGCCTTGCTCGGCGAACTCTAGAGTCACAAAACAATGCGACGCTCCAGAATCAAACAACACGTGGGACTCAATACCTCCCACGATTAAGGTTCCTGTGATCGACCTCGTACTTGGTCAACCCATCTCCCCGATGGAGTACACATGTGGCGCTGCTACGATCTGCCTCTCCGTTGGTATCGCTGCTGCCGCTGCCACCACTGCCACCTCTCTCTGCTATAACTTAGGACACTTGGGCTTTATATGCCCCGCCTCCTTGCAGTGAAAACACACCCGAGTATCTGTACCACTCCTCCAAGGACAGCTCGCCACCCTATGGTCCTTGCTTCCGCACCCAAAGCATCCCTGACCGCCCTGGCTAGCCCTATGAGTCTCATCCCTCTTACGCTTATGTCCATGCACCGGCTTACCGCTCTTGCTGTCTCGACCAACTCCACCACTGTACCGAACAGTCTCACAAGACAACGGTTCCACAACTCAACACGAAGAGCTCTAAAAAATCTTCGCACTCGTACCTGCTCACCCTCCACATCTCGATCAGCATACACACTGAGACGGTTAAACTCTGCCTCATACTCACGAACCGTCCGGTTCCCCTGAGACAGCTCCAAAAACCGCCCCTCTAACTGTTGTAACGCCTCTCGACAAAAGTACTTAGCATTAAACTCCACCTCAAAGTCCGCCCAGCTCATCCCCGCTTGAGCCCTCCTAGCCGCAACACCCCTCCACCAGAGATGTGCATCTGCCTGCAGATAGTGGACTGCAAGATCAACCTGGTATCCCTCTGGACACCTAATCGAACGGAAATTCCGTTCCATCCGCATCCTCCACTCATCCGCCTCCTCAGGTTTGGCACCACCCGAAAAGAATTCTGTGCAAATCCTCTGCATCTGCTCCATCATCTTGATGTAAGATGGGAGCTCCTCTGCAACTGCAACCCTCGGTTTCACCTCAGCCACTGGTGGTACTCCTGGAGCCTGTGCCAGTATCCTCTCTGGTAGCCTCTCTAACAGCCTCGTCAATAAGTATGCAATACGGTCATCTCGGGTCTGAGCAACACCAGCTGCCATACCTGCAGCCTCCGCTGGAACTCCAGCGACACCGGCACCCCTACCGGCCAAACCCTCAGACCCCTCCTAATCCGCATGCAAACCCCCGTCCTGCTCAACCGTAGCACTCTGTACCACACTCTCATCCGCTACCAGAGCCCTGCGGCTCCGACCATGTCCCCAACTACGATCTTTAGCTCCGACATCCAATAGCACTTTCACAAGCATAAACTAAATACACCAAGACATCAGACCAAAAATACAAAAATAACTTACCGTGGAATCTCATTGAAGGCTCGAAGAGGATGATTCTAAAACTACATGCTCATTCAAATTGACTAACTACTCATAATCAATTTTTCCCAGCATAAACAACCAACGGTTTAACATCACGCATCAAGCATCATGAAAATTCAATCAATCCCAATTAAATTTTCTAAACCGTCCTAGGAGCGTAAACGCTCGGATACCAATTGAAACAACCCGACCCTTTTTTTATATATATTTAACTAATATTCCCATAAATATTAATTATTTCTCTACATCTCCATTTAATTCAACAACTCACAAAAATCACTAAATCAATCAATTCATTCCGGTTATCCTATTAAACCACCAAATTCAGAAGTATTTCAAATAAATCTTAACCGATTCCAAACTAAAACTAAATTCCAAAAATTATTCAAAATAAACTAGAAAAATACCAATAACAATGCAACCATCAATTCCACATTTATTCAAAACTGTACATTCAAATAATAATGATCACGAAAACCAAGTCTTAGATCATCCTCCTCTCCTCGTCATGATTTTACGATCACATTTTATCTTTACCTGCACCAAGAAAAGAGATGCATAAGTATTTCAATAAATACTTAGTGAGGCGATCCTCCCATCTACGAGCTATACACACAAGCAACTAAGATCGCAACTGTAACTCCCGTGTTCAAAAAAAAATAATATAAAAATGGATGTTTATGTCGGGAATTGAAGTAGAGTCGGTTCAATTTCAACTGGTTTACTAAAATAGCCGATTTATTAATTAAACAAAAGAGGTGGTTTACTTAATTCTCGGTTTAGTAAAATCCTGGTTTAATCAAATTAAACCAAGGAACCCTATTTTTCTCTATATAAAGACACCAGCCTCCTCTCCTGTGTCGTGACCTGCAAATAAAAAGAGAGAAAGAGAGCTTGTTAGTGTGAGAGAGAGAGGTTGAAGTTTGGTGAAAGGAGAAGAGAGGCAGACAGGACACGTTTTAGTAGAACAGAGTTTCGTCATATCAATTCTTTTCCAAAGGTGACGAAATTTTCAGCGATTGTAGGTAAGACTTATATCTAGTTATAGCCGTTTACAGATATTGATTCGAGTCAATATTCTAAAAATTATCCCTGTTTTCGTGAGCTCTTCTGTTTCAGACGCGTTTTGGACCAGTTCGTGTTCAAAGAGAGATTTCGAACGAATCCTTTTTCCGATCGTCACGAAATTTTGTGGGTAGGTTCAGGACACCTAGGGGAAGGTTTTCAACGGTGGGATTGGAATTTTAACGGTTATAACTCGTTTCGTGATCCAATGTTTCAGGCTGATAATTCTGTGATTTTCCCAGAATTTTTATTGTTGGGTTTAATTGATGTTTTTATTGTTGTGTTTTGCAATTAGGGTGATTTGAGATACTTTTGACGTGAGAAAAAAAGTCAATTGTGGTTGTGTGGTGTTTTTCTTGTTCAAAAATCATCCATAAGCTGAGGTGAGTGCGTGACCATGAGCTTATCTAAGCGATTGGGGTTATGTGACTTGTTTGTTGTGATGTGTAGGTTGGATTTTTGATGGATCCAATAATTGAATCCGTGAGATGGTTGTGTTATTGGATGATTGTCAACACATAATTCATGAAAACAAACCAAACCAATGACAATCATCCAATAATACAACCATCTCACGGAGTCAATTGTTGGATCCATCAAAATTCAACCTACACATCACAACAAACAAGTTACATAACCCCAATCGCTTATATAAGCTCATGGTTACGCACTCACCTCAGCTTAGGGATGATTTTTGAACAAGAACAACACCACACAACCACAATTGACTTTTTTCTCACGTCAACAGTATCTCAAATCACCCTAATTGCCAACCACAACAATAAAAACATCAATTAAACCCAACTATAAAATTCTGGAAAAATCACAGAACCGTCAGCCTGAAAGATTGGATCACGAAACGATATCTAACCGTCCACTTTCAAATCCCTCCGTTGAAAAGCTTCTCCTAGACGTCCTGAAGCTACCCAAAAAATTTCGTGATTATCGTAAAAAGGATTTGCTCGTAATCTTCTATTAAATAGACACTGGTCCAAATCGCGTCTGAAACAAAAGGTCTCACAAAAACAGAGATAACTCTTAGTAAATTGATAGAAATCAATATCCTCAAACGGCCACAATAAGATATAAGTCTTACCTACAATCCCTGAAAATTTCGTCGCCTTTGGAAACGAATTGGTATGTCGAAACTCTGTTATACCAAAACGTGTTATGACTGCCTCTCTTCTCCTTTCACCCAAATTTCAACCTCTCCTTCCTCTCACAAAACTTAGCTCTCTTTGTCTCTTTTTCTTTTGCAGGTCACGACTAGAGAGGAGGCTGAGGAGGCTGGTGTCTTTATATAGAGAAAAATAGGGTTCTCTGGTTTAATTTGATTAAACCAAGATTTTACTAAACCGAGAATTAATTAAACCACCTCTTTTATTTAGTTAATAAATCGGATCTTTTAGTAACCCAGTTGAAATTGAACCGACTCTACTTCAATTCCCGACATAAACATCTATTTTTATATTTTGTTTTTTGGAACACGGGCGTTACAGTTACAGTATCACCAAATCAACGTGTCTAGTCACAAACCAAGCAGAACGAGATTGTGCAAACGGCCAAACCTAGCATTGCTAAGAAGCCATACATATTTCCTGCAGAACAGAGCAATAGTTAGTGTTTCAATATATTATTGTGTATTAAAATATCGTTAAAAGTAAATGATATGATTAATTAATTATTCAAGTTAAGAGCGCAAAAATATGCGCATCCAAATCAAGATCCATGATAACAACAAAAATCGATTACAATAACATAAAAACCAATATGGGACAAAATTACTGAAGAAATAAGATGTCAATTGTTGTATACCATAATTGTAACTGAATATTTAGGCCACCAGCTCAAACAATAAGCTTCCTGTGATTTTACGTGCCCCACAAGCTTCTCTGTCTACTTCACAGCCTCCATCAACGTGAAGAGACTCACAGAGTTCGCATACTCCGCATTCTACTATCTTCCATTCCTCACGGCCGATAGCAAAGTAAAAATCAAACTCGCTAGAAGTTACCTCTGCTTCAACTTCGAATATGTACTGATGCCCCGTGACAAGTGGATCAAGATATTTGTAACCAATGTTGCCATTTTGTAGGTAGAAGATGAAAAATTCTCCATGCTTCGTGTTCGTATCACCAGCCTTCTCGTCACCCTTATATATTATCAAGACGCAAACCTTAAATCTCAATGATGTAGGAAGAGGCCCTTCATTTAACTTCACTGTCACGGAATCTCCAGCAGCTCTGTAAGTGAAGGATGAAGACACTTCTCGACCAGGTAAGATCGCATATTTACTAGTCGATGTTTGGATGATGAGGTCCCTTGCTTCTTTATTCAGTTTGAAGCAGTTAGCAAAATTGAGACGAATCTCCGAATTGTGAAAGGAACAATCTAGTTTCTCCAGTGATGCACAATTTTCTGTATCTAGGTCTGATAAGATATCTGGTAGCTGAGGTAGTGATACCAGCCTTTTGCATCCGTAGAGTAAAATTTGATCTAGACGAGATATCCCCTTGACCCATGTAGCAACTTCTTGTATATCTCCGCTCAAATGTAGACATGTGATGATGTCAAGAGCATGCGGGAATTCATTAAGGTTTTCAAAGTATGACATGCAGAATATATCAAGACGAGGCCATGATCTGATCGATAAAGGCACTTCTTCTATTGTAGTTCCAACAAGATTGAGATATACAATGTTTGTGGAAATCTCTGGAAAGATTTTCAACCGCGTGCAAAAGATGAGATCAAGAACTTTGAGAGATTCCAAGTTGATGTTGATCGGAAGGACCTCCAGCTTTGAGCATCTTGACAAATGCAACTGTTTGACAAAAAAAAAAAAAGACAAATGCAACTCTTGCAATTTATGAAGGTTTCCAATTGAGAAGGGAAGCGCCAGTAGATTTGAGCAATCCTGGAGATTCAACTCTTGGAGACTAGTGATATTTCCGATAGAAGAGGGAAGTTCCACGAGACTTGAGCATCTATTAAGATATAATTTGTGGAGACTAGTGACAGTTCCAATTGAGGGAGGGATCTCTACAAGACTTGAACATCCGCTAAGGTCTAATAAGTTGAGATTAGTGACATTCTCGATAGCGGGAATCTTCACAACATTTGAACAATTTTTGAGATTAATTAACTGGAGGTTGATGGCATTTCTGAGAGTGGAAGGAAGCTTCATAAGCCTTGAGCAATTTTCGAGTAACAATTCCTGAAGATTAGTTGCATTATCAATAGAAGGAAGCTCCAAAAGATTTGAGCAATTAGTGAGATTCAATTTCTCGAGTTTGGTTGCATTTCCTACAAAAGAAGGGAGCTTCACCAGACTTGAACAATCACTAAGATCCAACATCTGGAGATTAACAGCATTTCTGATACATGGGAGCTCCACCAGACTTGAGCAACCACTAAGATCTAATTTCTCAAGATTAATAAGATCCACAATAGATGAAGGAAGCTCAACTAGATTTGAACACCCTTTGAGATACACATTTCGAAGATTAATGGCATTCCCAACAAAGGACGGGAGCCCCACCAAACTTGAGCATTTAGAAAGATCCAATATTCGAAGATTTATGGCATGACCAATAGAGGAGGGGATCTCTACTAGACTTGAGCACCCTCTCAGGTCTAAATCCACGAGACCGGTGACATTTTTAGTAAAAGAAGGGAGCTCCAACAGGCTTGAGCAACCACCGAGACACAAATAATCGAGATTTGAGAGTTTTCCAATAGAGGATGGAAGTTCCATTAAACTTGAACAGTTTTCTAGAATCAAGGTTTCAAGATTGGTGGCAGTTGAAAGATCAGGAAGCTCCTTCAAATTTTTAGAATTACTCAACACCATCCACTTGATATTTCTAAGTGGCTACAGAGACAAATAAGAATATGTTGATTCAGTTAGTTCTGGAACACCAAAAACAAAATACCACACTTCAAGTTTTATAGCAAAAAATACCACTATTAGTTTAATGTTCCAAAATATCACCACAATTTTTTGTTTTCCAAAAATACCACAAACACAAAAATTGATTTAAAAGGATTCAAAATTTGGATTTTTAGATTTTGATTAATTATTTAATTTAGATTTAGGTTATAGTTTTTAGGGGGTAGGTTTTAATGTTTAGGGTTTAGTTTTAAAGGTTGAAAGTTTAGGGGGATGTATTGGAACAATGATTTGGAAAATTTTGGTATTTTATTAAAATGACCCGTTATTCAATTAGTAATTTTAAGGTTTAAGATTTAACTGGTATTTTTGGAACATTTGGCATTTTTGGAAAACTAAAATTTTAGTGTTTTATTTAGGGAAAATTCCTAAAAAAAACCCCAACTATTTAATATTTGCCAGAAAAAAACCTGAACTTTTTTCGATGCCGGAAAAAAACTCCAACTAATTTACCTCTGACAAAAAAAACACGTACTATTTTTTTCTTCCAATTTCCTCTCGTCTCCGTTACGGCCGTTAACGCCGTCGTTGACGCCGTTACTATTTTTAGAAAAATTCCTTAAAAAAAACCTAAGTTATTTAATTTTGCCAGCAAAATACCTGAATTATTTTTTTGTTGCCAAAAAAATATACGGATCAAGATTTTTCTCTTTTTCTTTTATTTCATTAACAATGTAAGGTGGTTAGACCTCATAACTTTATGTGTTCTCTTGAATCTCATACAAATTCTCACTACAATTAAATTAATCGATTTTTCAATTTTCCAATTAGAACAAAACTCACAATTACATTAGTTGATTCCCTAATTTTTTAACTAGAAAAAAAAAACACAATTAGATTAGTCGTTATTTTTAGCGTTGAGTTGGTTTGATTAAGCTAGCTTTACCTTCAATTTTGGTGGATTTAGCTTGATTGGAGTATTTTTTTTTTTGCGATTTATGTTTGAGAATTTTTGAAGATCTACCAAGATTTTTGGGGCTCTTATGAAATTTAGTGTTCCATTGTTGATGATGTCCCAAAATTTGTAAAGTCTGAATAGATCCAAAAACAAATCTAATTTAAAAATTTGAAAATCGACTAATCTATTTGTATATTTTTGTTCTTAAATTTAATTGTCCTAAGTAATAGTGAAAACTGAAAATTTTTATGAGGTTCAAGATAACACATAAAAGTTAATAGCTCTCACCATCTTACATTGTTGATGGAAGGCAAAAAGAAAAGAAAAGAAAAATGTTGATCTATGTATTTTTCTGGCAACGAACAAATAATTTGGGTAGTTTTCTGGCAAACTTAAATAACTTGGATTTTTTTCAAGAATTTTCCCAAAAAATAGTAACGGCATTAACGCCCGTAACGGAGACGAGAGGAAATTGGAAAAACAAAATAGTTCGTGTTTTTTTTTTCAGCGGTAAATTAGTTGGGGTTTTTTACCGTCATCGAAAAAAGTTCAGGTTTTTTTCTGGCAAATATTAAATAGTTGGGGTTTTTTTTAAGAATTTTCCCGTTTTATTTATGAGAATTTCCCTATAAATAATCATACTAAAAACATCAGTGTGGTAAGATTCAATAATTTTATTTAATGAAAATATATATAAATTTGAAATGCCAAAATCACTTACTTTAGTTCCTTCCCATAGTTTCTGAAGCTTGCTGTCATGCATGGTTAACTCGACGAGAAACTCCGAATTAAAGGTAGAAGGCAAACTTGTCTTTTGAAAATGCATCCAACGGAGTGATATAAGTTTTCGAAAATATTGACAATTCAAACCTTGCATTGTGTGCAGTCTGTCCGGATGAGGAAGATCGCTACTATAGATGTTCAAGAATCTGAGGTTAGACAATTTTTTAACTGCTTTTTCACTTATATTAAAATTTTCTTCAATCTGAGATAAGTCCAAATTTATCCCTATAATACGTCTACCATCCTGAAAAAGGACCAAAAGAAACATAAGTAGAGAATGATAGTTTATCAAATAATCTCAATAGGAAGCAATGGAATGAGAAAATAATCTTAACACTTACAGTTGTATCATCGCTGAGTACTTCACATATATCTCTAGCATCGACTAAAATCTGACATTTTCCAAAGCCATGATTGAATTGCTTACGTGAAATTTCCTTTCCAAATTGTACTAGCAGATCATGCATCTTTACGAATCCTGCTCCCACAAGTGTATGTATGAGAGATTTTTCAGCTAATATGCGCAACCCTTTCCCAACATCCAAGTAGTTTTTTAGAAGCTCTTCCAATTTGTAAATTGGCCCAGAGTTGAAAAAGCAGGCTATATAAAGAAACAATTCTTTATCTTCATCACATAAGACATCGTAACCAAACTTTAAAATGCTCTCAATTTCTCCGTCAAGGCAAGTTTTTAATCTTGGTAGGGTAATCTTCCACTCATATTTGGACATTCCCCGCAAAGCGAAGCCTAATACCCGCAATCCCAAAGGGAGTCTACCGGCAAGTTGTATTACTTCTCCAGCAAGCTCATATAGAAACCATGATATGGCTGTTTTTGACCAAATGCATACATGCAAAAGATTTCAATAGCCTCGTCAATTGATGGAAAATCCACTTTGTAAATATGGTTGATTCCATAAGCGTTCAAAACTCTGAGATCTTCTGTTATGATGATAATCCGACTTCCACGACCAAACCACTCAATATTCGCCAATGCAACTAATTGTCCTAAACGATCCACATCATCAAGAACAAGAAAAACTTTCTTGTCTTTCAACCTTTCTTGAGCGACTCCTAGATGAGAAATTTTGATATCTTTCTGGTTGATAATCTGAGACAACATTTGGTTCTGAAGTTGCAATTGTGCTCTATACTCATCGAGACAAGGATTTGGATAACATCCTTTGATATTCACCATGATTGTGCTCAGTTGAAAGCTGCTGGAGATTTGATTAAACATGGATCTGGCAATGCTGGTCTTACCGATCCCAGACGGACCCCAAATCCCAACCATCCTCACTTCATCCAAATCTAGGCGTAGTAATAATCCCAAATTTGCTATATGAACTCCCATTCCGATGAAGGCGTCGAAATCCCTTGATGGTGTAGCATTATTCAACACGTTCGAAACATCTGTGGCAATTTTTTCAATCATGGCACCTTCATTATCCCTAACATTGGGGACATCAAGATACATCCATTAATTAGTTTAACATTCTCATACACATCCAAAACATATTATCTTATTAATTTATCGATTTATGTCATATTTTACAATGATCCCAACTCGGGACCGGAAGAATTTATTAATTTAGAGAGGTTATTAAATTATAGAGGTTTTACTGTAATTAGTTTTCTAGCTTGCTATTCTTTAATGGCTACAAATAAACGCAGTTTGATGAGTCAGTAAAATATAAATATGGCAAGTACATAAAAAAAAAAGTGGGCATATACTAATTGCGAGAATGCTCTCCGGCTATTGTGGCCACACCATCCAAGGCTTTTTTCCATCCCTTAATCTCCTCCTTTGTCTTACCTTTACAAGTTTTTTTGAAGGCCTTCCCAAAATCTCCGGTTTGTTTCTTTACATCAGTTGGATCTACATCATAGAAAATGGTCATTACTATTTGACCCAAATCCTCCCTGCAATTCATGATCTCCATCAACTCGTTTAAGCACCATGACGAAGAAGCATAGTTTCTCGAAAGCAAGACGATCGCGATCTTCGATCCTCTGATAGCTTCTATGAGTTCAGGACCGATTGACTTGGTCCTCTCGATATCATTATCAATAAATGAGTCGATTCCCTTTCCTTTGAACTCTTTTAGCATGTGAGCAAGAAAAGTTTTTCGAACATCTGGCCCATGGAAGCTCGGGAAGACATGATGTTTCGAATTTCGAGACAAAGAAGATGGAGTAGATGAAACAGATAAAGAAGAAGAAGAAGAGGAAGCAGAAGTTAGTGCTTTGTTTTCTTGATGGAATCTGAATTTTATATAAAACATGAAATATATTGTACCCAAAAAAGTGAACAAAGTTATTGCAGCAGCACAAAAGCGAAAGGAAAAAGAAGAATCCATTAGAATATGATGGAGAGAAGACCAATATTTCAGAGCTTTTCAGAAAGCAATTTGCAGAAAGAAATCGAAAGGGTTTGTTTGTTTATTGAAATGATGCAACCAGTTTTGTTTAGTTTTGAGAAGAAGCAAGGAAAGATTAAGAGGCTTTGTGTATTTGTGTATATTGGTTACAGAACGTTGACTTTGTTATCAAATATCAACGAGAAGCTTCATGGATGTTTCTCAACACAAAAAAATGATATTTCATGGAAAATTCTGCTAACTACAAAATCAGGGTCCCTATCATATTAGTCACTAATACTAAAGAAGAAAGTCATGAGAGAAATGTTTTTGAAAATTTCAACCATCATGTGATTCACATACTCCCTAGTTCAAAATAATTGATGTTTAAGGTTTTTGCTGATAGATTAGGAAATCATTTAATTTTTAATTTTTCTAAAGAAAAACATATATAAACATAAAAATAGTAAAAACATTAAAAACAATTATGTGACAATATAGTGTTTCAGAGAGATTACTTCCGAATAAATGATGTTTTAAGAAAATACTAAGAAGTCATCATGTCCTTCAGATAGATTGTGCAAACGGCCAGACCTAGCATTGCTAAGAAGCCATATTTCCTGCAGACCAAAGGAAGCAAGTTTAGTGGAAAATCAAATGAAAACTTATACTAGATTCTGTGTTAAGTTTTCAATATCGATACCTTTATTCTTTAACCAAACTAGTACAAACCACGAGAGAGACTAGCACATCACTAGCTCAGCTCTCGAATCTCTCATGCGAGACTCACACAAGATTCAACAAGAAACAACATGTACCTCTCTAAACATTCAGAGCCAGTATTTATACTAGAACAAAGTTTGTTAAAGATATTTTTAGATCCTTAATATATCTGCTTCTTCAAGCAGGCTTCCTTCTCACGTGTCTTCTTTTTGCTTTGTCTCCCATTCACATTCTTCTTGATACACCAATCGTATCATTCTGCTGGAACCCAACTTAGTATTACTCCATCACAGTTTTAAACTCCAATAACTTGTTAAGAACATAAAAGAAAGACAAAGAACAAACCCGATAGTGAGACGCTTCATAAGATCTGCAAACATTATAAAGCAAACCAAGACCTGCACATACACAAGGATGCTTCATACCACCAAGGATCATAAGTATGAAGTACATTGGCATCATCTCTAAAGAATTCTGATCACCTCTCTGCAATAACCCCAAATTTGGAGAGTCAATGTTTCAATCCGGTTTGATTTCGGTTTCATAAATCCGGTTCGAATTTCCTTTGGTTTGTTGATTTAGTATATTCGGTTTGATTGAAACTAACACCCTGCCGTTTTAGTGTTATAAATTTACAGTACCTGCCGTTATGTTTACAAGTATTCTTTTTAAAACCACAAAGTGTTTAGGGTAAACAATATCTACCGTCGGTTTATTATCTCAATTGGGTAAGAAAAAAAAAATCTCAAAATTATCTCAATTGGGTAAAAAAAAAACTTTCTCTCTTCTTGTTCTTGATACAGTAAAACCTCTATAAATTAATAATGTTGGGACCATGATATTTTATTAATTTATAGTAATATTAATTTATATATAAATTAATAGTATTGAAATTTTGGTTTCAATTGTGAAATTTTTTTTAAAAAAAATACGAGGTAAAGCAATGTGATCTAAATAAAATTAATGTTCTGCATGTTATAAATTTTATAGTTTTAGCCTTAAACACTTAATATTTCGAAGAAAAAATAATTTATTTTGACAATGAATAACAACGATTATAGAATTCACATATACCAACGATATACAGAAATTAAAATTCACAAATAGTGACATCTATTGTTGTATTTTAAAAACCTATACGATTATTAAAACAAAAATTATGTATATTCAAATTTGAAAACTTACAAAATTTTTTGACTATTTATATGAAAATACTAAAACTATTATATATATATATAATATTATATATATATATATATATATGCAATTTTACATGATTATTAATTTATGATATTATTGGGACTATATTTTTACATAGGGATTTCAAAAAACTTATTATCTTATCGAATTTGGTTAATTTTTACACTGGCCCGATTCGGGACCGGCCAAATTTATTAATTTATCGTGTTTATTAATTTATCGAGTATTAATTTATAGAGGTTCTACTGTAGTTGTATCGGTTTCACTTCAAAATCTATGCTTGGAAATTGGAATCGATTCTTTATTATCTAGGTTTTGTGAATCTTTGGTTCTAATCATGTAGAAGCTGTTCTTGTAGATGCTTAAGACCCTTCACTTGAAAGAACGAGAGAAGTTTGATTCAGATTTCATTATCGTCAGGTTGGTTTGCTTCTTTTTTCTTTTGGATGTTTGCTCTTAATGTGTAACTCTGTTTATTCTCTGAGACTATGACATATTGACTGTTTTAATAGTTCAGTAAAAATGTGAATTTTATCACATTCTTTGGCAAAAAAAAATTATAAGTGGACAAAATTATAAAGTTTATATATATTGTTTCTTCTTCCTGTGGTGGTTATCCTATACTAATATTTGGGAAGTACATCCTAAGAGTCATAACTTAGATTTTGTAAGAAATTACAATATATGCCATTGTATAATTCTAATCATAAAATTAATTCCATGTCACTAATATATATTAATGGGTCAACGGGTCAACGGGTTTAAAGATATTAAAAGATTTTGTTTATATATAATTCGAATTTATAAAAAAAAAATGTTATATAATTCGAATTTATAAAGAAAATGTTATTTTGAGTTATAGTAATCATATGTTAACGTTCTAAGTTATTAATAAATTATTCAAAAATTTTATATACTAATCCATTATTCGAAAAAGTTATTGAAAATGAAATATCATTGATTTTTTTTATATAATTCGAATTTATAAAGAAAATGTTATTTTGAATTATAGTAATCATATAGTTCGAAAATGTTATTAAAAATGTTATATATTAATCCACTATTCGAAAATGTTATCGAAAATATTATTGAAAATTGAAAATGTTACTGAAAATTGAAAAGGATATATCATTAAAAAAATGTTATATAATAAATTAACTCACTAAACATTCCTAATTTTTTGTAAACTCGATTTGAGTTTAAAATATATGGAAATCAAATATTTAATTTGTAAATAATCGACTCTTCATAATTATTTTATTCCATGTCACTAATATATATTAATTGGTCAATGGATCAAACGGATTTAAAGATATTAAAAGATTTTGTTTATATAATTCATATCAAATGGATATAACAAATGTTTTATAAAGATATTCTATGTAGTTATAACAAACAAATATTTTCAAATCAAATGGTTTCCTATTTGAATGCTAGAAAAAAAAACTAATAATTTTTTAATGTCATATCTAAAAAAACACAATAAATTGATATATTATTTTAACAAATCAATATTTAATGCTAACAATAAATTAATTTGATTCACGTTTTTAATTTAATACTAATAAAAAATTAATTTGTTTTAACGTTTTTTAGTTATGGCATTAAAGATTTATTGCCAAAAGTAAAATAAAATTTGAATGCTAACAATAAACATAAATGTGATCGATTTTGGTCCTATAAAAATGGTAATCTTTAGCATATTACTAGCATATTCCATAGCTAATTTATATTTTTTCCTAAATAAATTCCAAATATATTTTATAGTAACTTGCTTAGCAAGAGATTTTCTACTCACTCAAAGAAAACCCTACAATTTTCTGAGAACACTATAAATACATCTAAGTCCCATTTTCTAATCTCACCAAACAATAAACACTTCTTTCAAGCCATGTAGAAATAAACACCGAACATGTAGAAATAAAAGTCAAGATTATACGATTTTGAAAACAATAGTTTGTTTTTTTGGGTGAATTCAATAGATATAGTACTAACAAAGTTTTTGTTTCTTTTATTTTGTTATAAAAACCTTTCATATTTTTTGTTTTGTGTTCCATACAAAGATTCTTTTGGTATTGACTAATGATTGAATTTGTTATGTCTAATGCAGATTTTTTTTTCTTAACTTTTCTTTGAAGTCAACAAGGCTACACTGAACATGGAGCTAGGGTTGTTGGAGTTCTTGCCATGTCTAGAGTAATTGGTGAGTGAAATCTATTGTGATTCAACTTTGTAAAACTATTTTATTCTGGTGGAATAGGCTTTGGACAAGATTAGATTTGAGTCGTTGACGGACAAGAGCAAGCTCGATGGTCAGCCTGAGCTATTCATTCATATCATTCCCGACAAGACTAACAACACCTTGAACATTATCGATAGTGGGATTGGGATGACTAAGGCTGGTACGTAATTGATTTCATTAAAAGCAATTTGTATTGGTTTTTTGTTTATTAATCTTGCATCCATATCATCAGCTTCAACAACTTGGTGGATCACATGGTAATATATTAAATCCTTTGATTGTTCGAATCATAGTTTTACGACAAGTAATATTTATTTCGGTTTATTATTGCCAAGTTTGCAGTTGCTACACCTAAACAGATTAGAGATCTCATGAAGGTGAAGGTCGATGGTTTAACTAATGACGAAGTTAAAAGCCATTTACAGGTAACAAATAGTATAATCATTTTACGTTCTCACTATATCATAGATTCATAATTTTAACTTTCTTGATATTTACATAAATATAGATTGCACACAAGAAGACCAGCTACTCCGGTAGTAACAAACGGTGGAGAAAATCCACAACAACGGCAATTCATGGTGGTGGAAGGAATTGTGCCGTCGCACGATACAACGAATAATAGAGTTTACGCTCTGGTGGCGGTTCAATCTTCACCGTCGGGAGAGAGAAGTAGCCGGCGCTGCACAAATCGCCGACAACATCTTCTACACACACACCACACCGTCTTCCTCTATCATAGATAGTTCACGATTTGTATGAAAATTGGTTTTCTTCATTAATTTGTTTTGTAACCAAGAATGTTCGTTCGAGGTTTAAGATTTTTGAATAAATT